ATATCCAGAACGAGGACCAGGTCGTGTGCGTGGCACGCGTAAACGGACCGTTTAGCTCTATCAGTCACCGCACCCACGTCCCGCCGGTCATTCTGACTCTGTCTCACCACCGGGGCAAGGTGAACGGGAGCGAACGGGAGCGCGGCAGATGCTGCGAAAGTCTATCTCACTGTAGACCAATTCAAGCTGCCCCTCCCTGCGTGAAGTACGCGGTGAGCGCCGTCGATAGCGACAATGAACTGCGGCTTGAGCTCCTGGAGCGCGACGTTATAAAATGAGCCTAAAAAGTTTTCGTAAAATATGTATTTTACATAGCGGAGACAGCTTACCGGACGCCGAGGACGTACGACGAACGGAACCCTCGAATTTGCATCAAACGGCAGCAAATGTAGAAGCATCAGAGAAACGCATCCACTGATAAGAATAGTTAAACTAAAATGTATAAATTTTACCGGAATAGCTACGGGATATTCTCAGACTGCCAACAGATAATCAGTAGTATGTCCTTATAACTTTCCGGACGAATCTGAAATGATATGTTTTACGGTCGCAAATTAACCTTCGTGGAAGTCAGAAGGCTCGACATTGAAAACTTAAATAAATACCAGAGCCAACTAACTGAAACATTCGCGGTTGTGGCACGCAGCAGAGCAGAATGTGTGAAGTACGTGTCTGGACCTTTAGATAGCACCCACACAGGGAGAATGAGACATACAGTAGACGTGCTAACTCATGAAATGTCAACCAAAATTTCGAAATGCGTTCTCGTTTCGAAAAGAAAAATTAAGTAGTGTTGTAAAACTAATCGTGATGCAGCATAAATCTATAATGATCCAGTAACCACAGGGTGTCGGCTTTTGAAAGAACTTACTTTTGGCTGCATGCAAGATCTATACTCTGCAAAAAATTACTACTTATGTAGTATGCAATTTTCTCATTGATTTTCGATGCCCTTGAAAATTCAATTATATTTCATGGAAAACATGCATTAAATATTCTTTCTTTTAGTTTTTCGGTAGAAAATTACGTCTGCTTCCAATTTCATACTCAAAAGAAGAGTATGATTCGGTTTTAAGAACTTTTCTAATTCCCGAATAATTTTGAACCCGACCAGCTGTTACACTCGCATTCAGGGTTTCAAAAGTACAAGCTGAATATTTTCAGTGTACGGAAAACCATGCATTTCTCTACGGTGTTAAGGGGAGACCATATGAGGTTCATAAAATTAAGCCGTGGATTTGAGCAATATTGTTAACTTTACAAGCCACATTCGTAAATGCGGATACATGACGTTTTATGAACGGCCATTTAACGGTATTAAAAAATTTCACAATTAGAAACTTTTTAAAACCGAATTATACTCTTCTTTAAAGTATGAAATTGGAAAAAGACGTAATTTACTACCGAAAAACTAAAAGAATGAATATTTAATGCATGTTTTCCATGAAATATAATTGAATTTTCAAGGGCATCGAAAATCAGTGAGAAAATTGTATGCTTCATTAGCAGTCAGTTTTTTAAAAATTATGGTTTCTGCCTGCAGCCGAAAATAAGTTCTTTCGAAAGCCGACACCCTGGGGTAACTGGATCATTATAGGTTTCTGCTGCATCATGATTAGTTTTGCAACACTACTTAATTTATCTTTTCGAAACGAGAACGCATTTCGAAATTTTGGTTGACATTTCATGAGTTAGCACATCTACCGTAAATCAATCCTTTCAGTAGGCACAACCTCAGTTTAAGAGGTTATGATCCCATTGGTCATAAATGAAGCTGTATCAGTACTGCCTTTCAATGGATTGATGACGACGGTAGAAAGGAGGTAGTAGGATATACAGAGTCCCTATCCGTAGCCAATGGCTACCCAAGGTCCCTCGTTCCTAATTGCCTAAAAAACTCTATCCATGAACACCCGAACGGTGAGACTCCAAAGGCTGGGCTCGTGATCCCCTAGTACGAAGAACCTTTTGGATGCCAAAGCAAGAATCTTGATTCCATTTAGGACTGATGTAACTAGTAAACCGGAATCCACCATCGGACAGCAAATAATGAGACCCAAAGACCTGACTCTTGACAATGGAATAATCAGCGGTGATCCATAATATGCCATGTCAAATGTGTGATTGAAAGCATGCTGATGAAACGGAAGAACAAAGGTCTTCTTTAGTAAGACAATTTCAACAACTAGTACTGATAGAAAAGGTCTGCGTGCGCGGCTCACCTACCCCCGTGCTTAGTCAAAGTCATCCACTGCTAATTCTAATCGACTGCCTTGAGTCTCATCGACCCAATACCGCGCGCTCGTGAAGTTGAATTCGTAGTCCTCCTCCAGGGTGTAAGTAGCGGATAACGGCGCGAGCCAGCAATAAGACAGGGCGAGCACTGTTGGAGGCCTGGGTGTCTGACACCAACGCTATCAACAGACACGTTGACGCGCTCCGCTCCCGCGGTCAAGAGGCGAGGCTCAATTTACGGCCAGGGCCGCACACGGTCACGTCGCCGTGAGACGGCGTTGACTCAGCACCCCGGCATTCCTACCGCCCATTGTTTGTTTGACTACAAAACTGCTCATTCGACGCCACATTTTCCAAGTCTCTGAGGATAGCCTCCTGTACTAGACAGAAAGCTCGGACTAATATAAGGACTGTCCCAGTGCTCACGCGTTCATCTTCTTCGCAACTAGAACCTGGGACTCGCATATTCGCGTCCATCAGTCAACTATCACTCATGAGCAAGTCACTTTCTCTCCTCCTACCCTGCTGTGGAGCACACTGTAGACGTCGTCGAAATCGAAGTTCGAACTGTCATGTTGTATTGACCGACTGGTAGCATGCCCCAGTGAGTCATGTACGGCTGTGACGGTCTGGATGCACGTATGTTTGAACTGAAATCGATGAAGGGGTCGGCGACAGAAACGTCTGGGATCAGGCTAGGCTGCTTTGCGGCAGAAGGTCTTGTGATGAAATTGAGCCACCACGAGTTGTATGAGCCCCGGAGGCAAATAATGTGACCGGCTGATTTACGACGGTCGTTTAAAAGCCCAAACGAATAGAGTCAATACAGCAAGTTGTAGAACTTGTTAACAAGTACGCACGTTTCGCCGATCTTGTGTCGCTGCCTGACGCAGCTGCGAGGGGTTCGGCTCGTCAGTGGGTCCCCCAGCTTCCCCGTGTGTTCTGGTATATGAACTCCAGTTTTAACTTGCCTTGTTTAATTTCCGAGGAAATTTATGTGTCCATTTGGAGTAAATCTTTCGGAACCGACCTTTTCAGACACGGTCCGGAATTTGATATAAGTGTTTAATCTGAAATCAATTAGGCACTACGGAATAACCACGTAATATTGACGAACCGACAACAGGCAGCCAGTATTATAGAATTGTTTAATTATTTATCTTACCTATGTCGGTAATACGGTAAATGATTATACAATTCCATACTATTGGCTACCTGTTATCGATTTGTGAATATAACGTGGTTATTCCGTAGTAGCTGATTGATTTCAGTTCAAATATTCATATCCAATTTCGGACCGTGCCTGAAAAGGTCTCTTCCGAAAGATTTACTCCAAGTTGGTGCACTAATTTCCTCTGAAATCCAAAAGGCAACTTGTTCACAAGTTTGGTACTTACCTATCTGACCAATGACATTTTTCTAAATATAATCTAAGGCCCCAGGTATACTAAACTTGCTCATATCATCTAGATATTGCCTTGCTACGCTGGTATGACTCGTAAAGCCTTTTGGAAACTATACTCTTACACCATTCAAGTGAAACTCGCGTGTTCGCGCGCAATCTCCTTTGATCAGCATTAAGCTATGGAGGACTATTCGAGAAAATATGTAGGTCATAAATTTGTTTCAGTCTGGTGACCGTATTTAGGTTTAAAACACTTGTTCATACAGTCAACTTAGAACCCCTCAGGCCATCAATTTCTCGATTCACCCTATCTCCAGATATAACTCCTAATGAATCCACCTTTTAAATGTGCCTAATAATCAATGACTGTGTTGCGATTTCTGTTCCTAACAAAAAGTTTACTCCCGAACAACGTTATCTATGGTCACCTGGAACGAGTTGTATCGCATCTCAGTTATTCGTGTACGTGTGTAGGGGACGTTTGACTACAGTATAGTTCATCGCAGACATTCCATAGGATTTTGTAGACCACTCCCTTCCCGTCCCGTTCTTCATGAGTACAAGATGATCGTTCAATGTGGTGGTAGGTTTGTGTGCCAATTATTTTTTTCGCATTCTCTGGTGTATTTCAACGAGTTCAGTTGCGGCATTACTGAGGAGATGAGTTTATGATTACTCTTCCACGATACGTCTTATATATACACTGTTTATCTACAGTAATTCAATTTGGCAAGCATTTGTAATTTCGAAAATGGGCGCGAACGTTCGAATTCCCGGTTTGAGCATAAGCAAAAAAATGAAGACCAGTCATGCACCGGAACAAATTATTCTGGGCCTTAGAACTTCTACAGGACTTCATTGTTAAAGATGGCAGCGGCGATAAAACAAGCCAAATTTAGAGCGCGACCTAGTCAATCAAAGATCAATAACAGGTCTGGAAATCCCTGAGCAGATCAGTATTTTGGCTGCTTAAGTCCTCATCCGAGGGTCAGGCTTCAATCGATTATCAATGCGTTTTGCACAAGTGTAAGTTATTACTTTGACGACTGCGAAATTAAATTGGCGGACCACCTGTGATAATACGTCACCCCTTCGTACAGCCAGCTTATGTTCGTTTTTGAGCGATCCTGGCATGTATTCCGTATAACCTGCATAATTACACCGTTCAAACTTGAAAGGAAGACCAAGGTTAACAGACTCGTTGCAGATAGTGTAACTTGTTTGGGCCAAAAACTACGATGAGGCTAAACCTTAATACATGAAGCCCGTTATCGAATCTGCTGTCTTCCAGCAAATGCAGTTAACCGGAGAGAAACAAGCTACTAAATGAGAAATGGGAGAACTTTATTAAAAAAACAAATTAGAAGCATTTGCGGTGAACGATTTGTGGACCGGATTCGTCATACTCCTGCTTCGTGATCCACATCTGCTGGAAGGTGGACAGAGAGCCCAGAATCGAACCACCGATCCAAACTGAGTACTTGCGCTCCGGTGGAGCAATGATTTTAATCTTCATTGATGACGGGGCAAGCGAGGTGAGCTCCTTGTTCATCCTATCAGCAATGCCCGGGTACATGGTTGAACCGCCTGACAGGACAATGTTAGAGTACAGGTCCTTCCTGATATCGAGATCACACTTCATGATGGAGTTGTAGGTGGTCTCATGAATTCCCACACTCTCCTGACCTAAGAAACTGGGTTGGAAGAGGGCCTCGGGACAGCGGAATCGCTCGTTACCCACTGTGATCACCTGACCATCGGGAAGTTCGTAGGTCTTCTCGAGAGAAGAGCTTGAGGCCGCAGTTGCCATCTCGTTCTCGAAGTCGAGTGCCACGTAACAAAGCTTCTCCTTGATATCACGGACGATTTCTCGTTCGGCGGTGGTGGTGAAACTGTAACCACGCTCTGTGAGGATCTTCATGAGGTAGTCGGTAAGATCACGACCAGCCAGATCAAGACGTAGGATGGCGTGGGGTAGGGCATAACCCTCGTAGATGGGGACAGTGTGGCTGACGCCATCACCCGAGTCCAGGACAATACCGGTGGTGCGACCAGAGGCATACAGTGACAGGACGGCTTGAATAGCAACGTACATGGCTGGGCAGTTGAAGGTCTCAAACATGATGGTGGTCATCTTCTCACGGTTGGCCTTGGGGTTCAGTGGGGCCTCAGTCAGTAGGACTGGGTGTTCCTCTGGGGCAACGCGGAGTTCATTGTAGAAGGTGTGATGCCAGATCTTCTCCATGTCATCCCAGTTGGTGACGATGCCATGCTCGATGGGGTATTTGAGGGAGAGGATGCCTCTCTTGGATTGGGCCTCATCGCCGACGTAGCTGTCCTTGTTGCCCATGCCGACCATGATGCTTTGCTGGCGAGGTCGACCGACGATGGAGGGGAAGACGGCTCGAGGTGAGTCGTCACCGGCGAAGCCAGCTTTGCACATACCCGATCCATTGTCGACGACGAGGGGTTGGATCTCTTCAGCCATCTTTCAGTTCAGTACTCTGCAGGTGAAGAGGCCCATGTGCGCCTGAATTTATATAGTCTCTTACCGAAAGCACTTTTGACGTCAGGCATCTCGCTACATGTGAGCACACTGTTTAGGCGTGATACGACATCTTACTTCTTCCTCAGCAATAATTGTGATTAATGGCTTCAGTTTTTGTACTCTGCCTTATTCTCGGTGCCTGATTGACGGTTATTGTACAGCATGACTCAGCTTCACTTCATACATAATGGCTGATCGGTTTATAACTCGAAAGTGTAGCGTGTCGTGCCTGGGCTGTGTTACATCCCGTTGGCAATCTTCGTGCTTCTAAGACAAAGATATATGTAAATTATTTTGGGGAATTCTTACTTGTTTCTTGCAAGCTTCCATCGAGAACAATTCTTCCAAAAGACGAAGAGCGACTTCTGGCTTCTGCGATTGACGTTTCAGCGTGGAAGTTTCTACTCCCATTTAACATTAACAATCGGCATGCTATTGAAAGGTCCTGTCAATACAACCATCAATCCAGAGACGGCCTTTTCAAACAAATGTTTTTGACGCCTTTTAATTTTCTCAGAAATTAACTACGAGCTTGGAGTAGATCAGGTGATAAGTTGGCTGCTCGGGCCAGCAAGTGGTTTCTAGCGTTTAACGTATCCAAATGTGTGGTCTTGCGCCTAGAATCTGGTCGGAGGCGCTTCCTAAAACACCAGTACACCATAAATGGGGTTCCACTAAAAGAAGTGGACACGCACAAAAACCTAGATAGGTTCAGAATTGCTGCCCTCCGTGCACTGCAAAAGAGCCGTCCACAAGGCAACCAGCATCATGCACTGGATTAGGCGTGCCTTCACAGTCTTTTCTCTGTCATATCCAGAATGATTGATCCAGCCAAACTTGTTCCCCCTATCCTATAGACGAATGAGGTGTGACTGTCATGGACATTCCGTATTATCCACGGGCATGAATGTTCGCTCAAAACTGAAGACTTCTTTGACTTCACGACCATGAATCACCTGTGCGGTCATCCGTACGAAATCAAACGAAAACGTACACGCCTAGACCATCGGAAGTTTCCATTCAGTCAGAGTGTGGTTCGACCGTGGAATTCACTCCCAAGTGAAATAGTAACATCTGATACAATGGTTTTATTCAAAAGATAGCTGGATCGTCTGATCTTTGATAAACGACGACTCTCACTGCAGGACTATCTGCGACCAGCCATAAATTTTATTTCCTGATTTCATTCTAACGTAACGCATCCTCGCACGTTTAATGAAATTTTCTCCCGCAAACTACGCAAATGACCGCATTTTGTGCTAATTGTATATAGTTGCACTTAAAATTTCATATGTTTGCCGCACGCTTTGCTGTCCTACACTGTAAAAACTTTTTACATAAACAACTATGTTACTGTTTGCGTTCTGTAAATATTCCCATTTTACAATTGGAGTGACAATTTGGCAAAGGGGTATTTTCCGTAACTCGTTATCAGGTGAAAACATTTAGATAGGAGTTGAAAATATGCGAAGTTCACAGGGTTTATAAGTCACCTGGAGACAGTTAGCGCCAGAATTGAGAAACTCCAGCGAACTGGTACCAGAGAACAGAGGTCCTTGACCGTCTTGAAAACTGCGAGGGACTGGCGTTTGAAAACTACATGCAAACTGCCAGATGCAAAAGGATCGTGACCAGGTGAATTAAGCTCCTACGAAGTGTCCAACCAGTGAAGGCTCAGAAGGTACGTTCATAACTATTACTCAGTACAGCTTGACAAAACTCTCATAGAGGTACTATCTATCCTAATTTTAGCAATGCACGGCGGATGCCGAAGCAGCTAGAGTTAAAAGTCCATTTCAAAAGTCTCTTCAGTCAGACTGCCGATTTAAAACCTAGCGGGCCTAGAGAAGTTTACTATCTTAAGTCGTTCAGATTTGCAAAGTTGAGAGCTCCGGGAAGAGTATTTGAAGAAGAAAATAGGCTCTCCGGAACAGGTTTATTTAACTGCTGACGTTTCAAAGAGCTGGGTCGGCTCTTCATTGTCAAAGCGAAAAATGCACTTTATAGAACAGAAATTTGATTTAAAGTGTCATTTTGAGTTGGTCGGCCTTATGCTGATCGATTTTTCTCGCCTCTCGCTGGCTCAACCTCTCGGGAGATGGTGGACGGGCGTTTGGTCTGTGTGCTTTGTGAATCACCACTTTTAGCACAGCAGATGCCGCACCAACAGAGTTTATTGTCGCCTTCGAATCTGTTCTTCAATTAACAAAGGCGTCAGAAGAAACAAAAGATTTGATCCGTCACCAAACTTCCTCGTTGCTTATGCGACACAAGAGGTGCGAAACTCTTAGCAATATGGGACAGCGAGCACTGAAAAGCCTAAAAGCAAACAAGGGCATAATTATTCTGCCAGCTGACAAAGGACGTTCAACAGTTGTGCTGGACAAATCGGATTACCAGAACAAGGTACAGGACTTACTCGAAGACCAGCATTCATACAAACAATGCCGTGCCAGCGAAATGAAAAATCTTACCACTCGGATAAACAAAAGCCTAAGAAATCTCAGGGCCAAGGGCGCGATTACACCCAACGGCTAGTTCTCCATGAAACCTACTGACACCGCCACGGCTCGTTTTTACGGTCTACCGAAGGAACACAAGGCAAATTTCCCACTGAGGCCAATCGTATCCATTCGTGGCACTCCGACCTACGGTTTGGCAAAATGGATGATCGGTCGTCTTAAGTTTTTGGCCGAAGGCTCATCAACAACATTAACATCTGCGTATCACTTCCTCGAACGCATAAAACATCTGAAGTTAGAGCCAGACGAGTCCATGGTATACTTTGATGTCGTTTCGCTCTTCACCTCCATCCCACAGCAACTAGCAATAGACGCTGTGGACCAACTATTGGCAGAGCGTTATGAGGATAGAGACAAAACCCTGAAGTCTGAGCATCTGCTCGAGCTTCTGCGATACTGTCTCAAGACCTATTTCACCTTCGGTGGACAGATGTACGAACAAATAAAAGGCACTCCTATGGGCTCCTCTATATCAAGCCTAATTACTGAAGTAGTTCTTCAACGGTTAGAACACTTGGTGTTCACCAAGTATCAACCAAAGTTCTGGGCCCGCTTTGTCGATGACACCTTCGCCGTTGTCAAAACAATTGACATAGAGCACCTAAAGGAACTACTGAACTCGGTTAACCCGGATATCCAAATTACGATGGAAGCAGAAACAAACAACCAACTCCCCTTCCTTGACGTACTTGTGCGCCGGTGTACCACTGGACAGCTGGAAACTACAGTATTCCGAAAATCCACCAACACGAGACAGATCCTACACTTCAACAGCAACCATCCTCTGTCTCACAAACGCAGTTTTGTCCGCACTCTATTCCAAAGAGTCGAAACACACTGCAGCACGCCAGAAGATAAAAGGGCCGTACGATTGTGCCTTGTGAACCTATTTACAGCCAATGGTTATCCCAGGCATTTCACTGAGAGAAGCAGACGTTGGGCGCCTAGACAACGACCAAATGAGCAGCAACCCGAAGTCTGGAGGGCCATTCCCTACGTCAAAGGGGTCTCTGAAGCGGTCTCGCGACTGTTACAACCCACCAGAGTAGGCATAGCCCATCGACCCCAAGCCACAATTCGACGTCGCCTGATGCAACTCGAGGATCCATTGTCACCCGCTGAAACCTCAGCAGTCATCTACAAAATCAATTGCAATGAGGGCGACTGCAACTATGTGGGCGAAACCGGGCGGAAATTGCAAACTCGCCTGCAAGAACACAAATCGGCCACTCGGAGGTTAGACCCTAACTCTCAAATAGCAACAAACGTTGGAGAAACGCGGCATACTTTTGACCTCCAGAGTGCTACCATCTTAGGCCGAGGCAACACAAAAACAGAACGGCTAATTCTCGAGGCGTGGTTCTCCGATGCCCACTCTATCAACAGGCATCTGGACCTTCCTGCAGCTTACTAAGTCCTACTTTATCACAATCGTAGAGCTCAGGACCAAACAACCACACCGGACTTAAGTAGGCCCTACGGAGAAAGCCCAACGCTGAACTTACTCGGTGAGGAAGAACAAGATCCGCCAGACCGACCGCCCGACAGAGATTCACTCAGCTGCCCTCGACGGAGTGGTGACTCACAAAGCACGCAGGCAAAACGCCGTCCACCATCTCCCGAGAGGCTGAGGCAGCGAGAGGAGAGAAAAATCGATCAGCATAAGACCGACCAACACAATTTTGATCGATTAAGTGCATTTTTCGCTTTGACAATGAAGAGCCGACCCAGCTCTTAGAAACGTCAGCAGTTAAATAAACCTGTTCCAGAGAGCCTATTTTCTTCTTCAAATATCTTAAGTCGACTATGGTTAATTGCTGTCAACATTACTTAAGCACTCCAAAAATCAAAGGTTCCTTAACAAGGGCCCATCTCGATAGCCTAACCGAACTTCGTAAAAACGATGACATTGTGCTTACCAGGCCGGAAAAGGGTTCAGGAGTTGTACTGATGGATAGAAAAGAGTACGTAGCAAAACTGTAAGCAATCTTGTTGAATCGTACTAAATTCTCGAAATCCGAGAAGGACAGCGACCGCACCGTGGCCGTTGAAGTTCAGCTGGTGGCGGTTCTCAAAGTTCTTCACAAAAAAGGACATTTATCTAACAAAGAATATGAGCAACTAAGACCAGGGGGCACGGCCATACCCTGAATGGACGGCCCCCCAAAATTCACAAGCACGGGCTACCCCTGCGTCCAATGCTGGATATGAAGAATTCGTCCTATCATGCTATCATTAGACGTAGCATCACTGTTTACTAATGTACCCGTAGCCGAAACAATAAACTACCTGTTAGCATTCTTTAGAGTTTCTCGATTCAGTGCTAGTTTATTCACCCGAAATAGACGCACCCGAGGTCGAACCTATCTCAGAAGACAGTCGGGATAACTCGGATATTCTTTGTGGCAATAAACAGGAACATTAGCGAAGCACGATAGAGTCAGTAAGGCGGGGAATAAATTGAAAATTGGACGTACATTTGAAGTGATTAGAAGAACAGTCAGCGAATGAAGCCAAAGTGTGGTGGTCGGTTTAAAAGCAAGTGACAACAAAGAGCAATAGACAATGGACAAATAACAATGAACAAAGAACCTCGAGAACCGACGAGTAGGGGTGGAGAAACAAAGGCAGCGTGGTATGAGTAAGGTCTGGTTACTAACAAACAGTTAGTAGCAAAAAATCAAGAACACAAATTGGCATCAGGGATGTCACACTTCCCCGCGGAGTCGCGGTCTCCGATGGCCTGAAAATGTCATGGAGTTTCCATTTGATCCACTGCTCCTTCTAGTGGACAAACTTGGAAGATTACCCTCCGTGCATGACCGTTTGCTGTGCAACGGTGACTTCGCGAATTAAGTTGTCCGATCCTGCGTGTACAATGAGTGGCCTATCTCATGAAATCTGATAACGGAATCGGATGAGAGAATTTCTGCACGTCTTTAACGTTGAGCATTTTGTTCGCTTATCCACTTCCTTCAATAAAATGTCCTTTTCTTGTGCAGAAATTATGTTTACGTAATTATTTCAAGCAAAATATTAGTAAATTCTGGCTAAAATGGACGTTGCAATTCATTCGTACAATTTCCTATGTTAATACACGTCCTAGACTCTGGCTGCTAATATGAACGAGTTTTTCATTGCAAGACTACTCATTTACCCACAAGAGTTTTAGCAAACAAATTAAGCTGAACTTGAAAATTTATTTTATGTCCGATGTTAATCGTGGTAATTAACCTGCTAACACGAAGGTTATTTTAAGAAAACCAGAGGTTGTATCAGTTCCTAAATGTCAAATTAGCAGACCCCTGCGATTTGGTGCCCTAAAGTGCAATAATAACGCAGATAGGGATTCCTTCGTTTAAATGAGCTGAAGCAGTTTTGCCGTTTGGAAAAGTCTACCCTTTATCACATAAATGAACACCACCGAATGGTCATTCTCAGCTTTGAACAAGAGAAACACTACATGTTGTGTCGTTTACTTTCTGTGCATACCTTATTCGGAAACAGAACGAGCAAAACATTAATAGTTTCATCAAAATATCAGTATTTATATGGGCGCTCTGCCATGCATTCAGAACCGAAGAACGGAGTCTAAAAGCGCACAAAAACAGTGGAAATGGCCTCAATGTATACAGGAAGGCATGTTCTTACGTTAACGGTAGAAATAAACAGTATTGCTTAGGAACGTGACAGAAACGGCCAAACGTGTCAAATTTTTACTCGACCTTGCCATGCAAAAATGCAAAGTACACAGAGATCCGTCGACGGCGTGCAGTAATAAAACACTCCTTAAAGAGGTAACTTATTAAGGAAAGTTTTCTTATTGATCGAAGACATATTCGTTGCTGACTTTCGTTGTGGACAGTCCTTTTTCTTGAAAATGAAGTTTGATGTTTGAATGAGTCTTCACATGTCACCCAAACGACCCTCTTCGTGAAAAGGAGCGCCCGAACGTTCACTAATGTGATAAATGCCTTCAAGAACAATCTTGTTTTAAAGTTCTCAACAGACCGGTAATTCAGAATCTGTCTTTATGGGCGATCGGTTGAAAACACTGAAAATCATGAAGTATTCAGCAATATTTCGAGGCCGATCTGAAACTCAACGTAGTCCGAAATAAAAGAACAGTACAAATTAATTTAATTGGAAAAAAGTTCTCTCCTTAAACACGAAATGGTATGTTTACGATCACGCCTGTCAGTTCTATTTAAATTTATTAGGCACCGACCGGCCTCATGGCATGTCACTTTATGAAAACTTTTGATCCTACAACGTCTCCATCGGCGAAATCAAGCAAATTCCAGCTTCTATTGTTGAATCCCATTTGATGTCACTTTAAATTGTTAATGAAATTATGAAACACTGGAAAACTGTTTTGGAATCTACACCCGGAATGTAGGCACTAGACAAACCGTCATATATGAAGTAACACTACTTATTAAACGATAATAAGATGTAAACTTCACTAAAACGCTGCTATTAGACATGATTTTAAGTTCACTTTTATATTCCCCACGTGTTTGGTATGAGAATACATTCTGTACATCTGAAAACGAACTTTACCTAATTAGAGCCATTTCTGACGTTTTCGGTATATTGCGCTTTTCAAAATAAATCGACATTTCTTAACAACGCAACATTGCTTATAATATTTATTTTATCTTTTTCATTCTTTTAAACTTGTACTTAATAAACGTATAAATTTGACTCATGAAATGGTGTCGGTTTGCGAGTGATTAGCAATCATTCGTAAATTTCGACCCATTTCATGAATCAGGTCACTAACTGTATTTCTTTGATTATTGCCCAAGGCCAGAGACCTCGGGGTACGTCTGTCTCCATCATCAGAACAAGTTGACCAATCCTGGGACTCGGTTTCGCAGATTGCCACTTCCGACAAAATGCGATTTTCGGTAGGTAGGCTCTTAAACATTTATCTCAAAAGGTATCCACTTAGAGTTGTGCCTGTCACCATCTTCGATTAAATAGATTCTTCGGAATCGTACTTGTTATTGGCTCGAACATACTGATCATTCGGGTCTTCACTCTGTCTTACCAACGGCCTGTCATTTAGGATCCGTTCATTTTCACTTATCGCCGAATGTGGAACTTCATCAGAGAGACATTGTTCTTCTAGCACCACAAGGACAATTTGTTTGATTGTGCGAATCATTCTTTTCCATACACCACCTCTATGGCTGGCTTAAAGGGGGCTGAATACCCAGCGGCACTCACAGATCAGCAGCGATTTCGCTATTTTATCCTGGTCCCACACTTTAAGCGGTTTCTTTAGGTCGCCTTCCGAATCCTTAAAATTGCTTCCGTTGCCACTGTATAGTCGCTGAGGACATATTCGTTCTACAAATCGATTAAGAGCACACAAGAACGAATCAGTATCTAAAGAGTGCGCCGCCTCCCGATGCATAGCTTGAAAACTGAAGCAGGTAAACAGAGAGACGTATTGCCCTTCGAAGGAACGTCCCCGTCTAACAAACATCAGACAAAAGTCATTAACTCCTGAAATAATAAAGGGATCGCAAGACTGTACATTCCGATCTAGGGGGGTCGGAGCAATAGCTTGCTGGTAGGGTCATGAAAACCATCTCCGGCACCGGAGACATCTTTTCAACGAGAACTTTATCGTTTTATTGGCCCGCAATATCCAGTACCGCGTCCCTATTGTAAATAGAATATGGCTTGTGCTTTCTAAGGTCAACGTAAAACGCTTAGAGAACTCAAGGCCAACAAAGACCTGGTAATCGGGCCAGCGGACAAGGGGCGCGCCACGGTTGTACTGGACAGGACAGACTACCTTCAAAACGCCAAAGGTTTACTGGAGGACCGACAGTTCTATGTCCCATGTGCAACGAACCCTGTAAAAGCGCTGACACGCGAAATTAATGCTACGTTGTTGGCCTTGGAGAACATAGGTGCAATAACAGCGACCGACAGACGCATGGCGAGACCCCAAGATACAGCTTTGGCCCGATTCTATGGCCTCCTAAAGTGCACAAAGAGGGCGCTCCTCTCCCACCCATCGTGTCGCTCAAAGCTACTCCAACGTACGGACTGACTAATTGGCTGTTCTGGCGTCTCAAGTTCCTGACCGCTGAGTCAGAAACCACGGTCTCTTTGTCAGCAGAACTCCTGGAGAAACTCAAAGGGGTAAGCCTCCATCCAGATAAGGCCATGGTATCGTTTGATGGTACACCATTTTTTACTTCCATTACCCAGGGTCTGGCGCTCAAGACAATCGAGTTGCTTCTACAAAGCAAATACGATAAAAAGGAGAACCGTCTTGGTCACGCACAAGTTCTTCGGCTCCTGAATTTCCGTCTCAGGAATTACTTCACGTTCGACGAGACAATCTACGAACAGGTGCAGGGCACGCCAATGAGTTCATCGATTCCGGTATACATCGCCGAGGCGGTCCTGCAACGGTTAGAGTCGCTGGTCTTCCAACATCACAAACCGAAGTTCTGCGTCCTGAATGAGGATGATACATTCGCCGTTATCGACCGGGGTCATCTGATGACATTCAAGGAACATCTGAATGCGGTCTTCTCAGACGGAGGAGGAAGAGAATAAGAAGTTGGCCTTCCTGGATATCCTCGTATGCCGCAAGGATAGTGGTGGACTAAAGACCAAAGTGTTCAGGAAAGCGACGAATGCGATGCAAGTACTGAACTTCAACAGTAACCACCCAATCAGTCACAAACGCAGTTGTGTAAGGACGCTCTATCGGCGTGTCGAAACGCACTGCAGTGAGCCGGAAGACAAGATTGCCGAACTACAATGCCTCGACGGGTCTTCAATGCCAATGGCTATTCGCCGCAACTTTGTCAACCGGTGCATACGCAAAAGGGACGAAAGACCTAACAGCATGGACAGCAAATTTTGGCCAGCGCTTCTGTATGTCAAGAATGTTTCGGAAGCTGTCACCCCCTGCTCGTGCCACTTGGGGTTGGAATTGCACACGGACTGGAGGCAACCATCAAGCGTCAGTTAATGAAATCGAAAGACCCACTACCACGGGAAGAAACGTCTGGAGTCGTTTATCGGATCTGGTGTAGTTGCGGACAAAACAACTAAGTCGGAGAAACCGGAAAACAGCTCCGAACGAGAATGACCGAACACGCCGCAACAGTGCGGAGAAACGACGCCTACTCTGAAGTTGCGATTCATTCGATGAGATCCGGCCACACATTCAAATTTGCTGAGGCCGAAATTCTCGCAAGAGGTGACAACCGCGTGAGCCGGGAGCTACTTGAATCATGATTTACTGACCCCAAGTCCATTAACAAGTGCAATGACCTTCCCCTTCCATACTCAGTGCTGAGACTTCGCCTAGGTGGAGCAATTAAGCACGCGGGGAGCGCACAGGTGAAAACCCTTCCTAACGCCAGGATCGGTGGGTCAGATGGTCGAGTAATCATCACACCAACATCCAACACACGTGATGAAATGGTAGCAATTAACGACGCGGATGTCGACCATCAAACAGTCAGCACATCAATTGCAGCGATCCCTGATGAAGGAGGGGAGCCGCTACTATTCATAGGCATGCGGTAGCATGGCGACTGCATCCTTTAAATACGGCAGCCCCTTCTGCATGAAGCACCCGTGCCTGCTATTGTCTCTGATGATGGGTTCGAGCAGGAATCCGAAACTTCAGGCTAATCAAGCTCTTGTCCTGGCGATCGTGTCTGCTTCTTCAAGACTGCTTCCCCGGACTCGTCTCTTCGATTCTATTGTCAATGGGTTTTTTGGCCATTACCTATGCTTTACGGTTTATCTTACCCCAAACTATATTTTTTAAAGTTATAGTTCAACTGTACATATTTAAGTAACGTTTGTTCGTGAAATGCTATTTGTTTTTCAACAGCGCACCTATAGACCGTTGAGATCGTACTACTTTGAACTTAGACCGACTCCTGTACGACACCTACGTGCCGGTGCTATTAGCACCTAAAATGACATGTCTGTCTCTACAGAAGCAAGGCCAGCCGCGAATTATTTGAAGTCTGAAGATGAGGACTTGTGTCGGCAGTCACCTCTAGACTGGCATCACTGATGTTTGATTGACTCGCACCCTCTATTATATCATTAAGGTAAAGGTAAGTAAGCGCCTTTGAACTCCCTTTTGGTTACATTATCTTCATAAAATACAATGTGTCGTTAATCGACCTTTAACAACAGTAAGCGCTGAGCCCGGACGATATTCTTCTGCTCGTACAAGACCTCCCGTCGCCGATGATCCTCCGTCTTTATTCATCTCTGGTAGGGAACGGGTATGTGTATCTCACCGAACTATCTTCCCACATAGTATATTTTTAATACATTCACACGAACTTCCAGCGCAAATATAAATCTCCCTTCTATGTGTTTAAGAACACCACGTTTCCTCCCTCCCCCCTCCCCCCTCCCCCAGAAGGTTCCTATTACCACCATTCCTGTATTATAGGTGATTTCGCGCCACGGAGTACGCGTATCCATGTCAAACCTCTTCTTTTTCTGCCTTCTTCTCTTCAATTTTCATTTTTTTCCTCCATCTGCTTTCCTTCTTGCACATATTCCCATTCATGTTATTATTATTATTATTCTCAGGCCTCAGGCGCCGCGGACCTCAAGCAAAGCCCGCTCGTCGAGGACAGGTCCTCGGAGGCGGATGAGTATGACCACTCCTCTTCCTATTCGGGCCGAGAGTTGGGCCTCAAACCCAGCCCCCAACAATTCCTCCCCCCTTCCTCCTCTCAGGCTGACCAAAGCCGGACCCAAACCCGCAAAAAAGGCACTGAACGGGGCGGTTTCCGTCTGAGTGAGCCATTTACCGTACGTCTGCCCGACTCTGCCGACACACGAAACAGGGTCAACTACCTGTCACAGCCCTCTAAGTTGCTCTCATGTCTTATCTTCAGGACGTATATACCATTTCCTAAAGAGCGAAAGATCGCCGTCAGGGTTTTTAAACTGAGCTATTGTTACCATCCATGTCTGAGAGGGAGAGCACTTATTCCTTAATCTGTGCGACATCTGTTTGCACTCTGTAGTTTTGATGAAACCGAATGTTCATCGGGTCAGGAAAGCGGTGTTTATCCGTTTTCGCCCGTTTGCTTAGTTCTGGAGGTTAGTAGTTGTTTAAGGTTTGGTCCTGCAGCTGTAGTTAAACAGCTGTCTCAGGCAAAAGGAACGGGTAGGCCTACAAATAACTATTTAGTAGGTGTGAGCTATGAAAAGTTGACCGAAAACCAAGGTGTTGGTCCTTGTCTTCCACCAGCCCTTTCTGGAGAGGATCAAGATGCCTTCGACAGAACTCGAGTTTGAGCTATTTGCAGAAATACAATTTGTTTCGAGGTCATTAAAAGAGAATTCGATCATTGTCTAAACAGCATCAGACCTTGGTGGCTGGCTTTGCCAAGCTCATATTGCCGTTGTACGGTGAGCAGTTGGGTACATTTAAGACTAATGGGCATTACCTTTGAAGGCCCGATTAAAAACAGCAATACAGTATTCAAGTCAAAATAAACATGTTACACTAATGTTTTCTGTAATATGCACTTTGTAAAATATTACTATAACAGCGGGGAACTAAAACACGATCACCTTCAGGTGGCGAGGATAAGGTCAAATAATTGATATCCGCGTTAGCGGTAGGTATGAGGAAAGCGTTGGTTTGGCGTAACTGGAGTGTTAACCTACAACATTTTTCATTAGATCATCAGATCAGATCAGATTTATTAAGAAAAGGTAGGCGAGAACCTTCGAACTCCCTTTTGGTTACAATAACGTCATAAAAACACTGTGAAAAGCAAGTGTCAAAGAAAATTAGGTAAGTAATTACATACAACAAGGGTTGGGTACTGGTATAAATTTGTCTGTAGATGTCGTTTATGTCAAAATTGTACAATAACCAGTACGCGGTACTGCACGGAGCAAGAAATATCGAAGCAAACGTATATGCTTTATTGAGGAGGTAACGAAAAAGTCATAACATAATGTGAATGTCCGCGGATGAGGACATGACGGCGCCCACAGGTAGGGCATTCCATGCCTTTACCACTCTGTGGCTGAAGAAGGACCACCTTGCGTACAGTCTCGCCCCTGTCACACGGAGTTTCAGAGGATGTCCTCTCAAGCTAGTAGTGGTGGCCAGCTCAAAGAAGTCGCCGGATGCGCGGCAGAAATCCTGACCGCGTAGCCTTCAAAACGTTTGAATTAAGTCGCCACGTAGTTGTCTGTAGTCCAGGAGGAGGAGCTCAAGTTTGGACAGTCTAGTTTCGTAAGGTAGGTTTTTATGACCTCTGATAAGCTTGGTTGTCCGTCGTTGGACTTTTTCGAGGGTGGTACGATCTTTGACAGTCCAGGGTCTCCAGGCCTGAATGGTAAATTCTAACTGTGGGCGCACAAACATCCCGGAGACCTTGCGAAAGCACTCTTCGTCGAACTTGGTAAATGTCCCCTTGATGAGATATAAGCTGGACATTGCGGATTTCACTGCTTTCAAGCAGTGGATGGCTTTAGTGAAGATGTTATCCACACACCTAGGTCCTTCTGAACCTCTACCAGTGGCAGCACTGTGTGATTTAGGTAATACGTCTGCCGGTGCGCAGAGCCGGTTCTGCCAATCCTCAGAATGCCGCATTTGGTAGCATTAAACGGGAGGAGCCAGTGGCCTGACCATTGTTCGAGTCAGTCCAAGTTTGCCTGTAAATTTGTTTCACCGTCCTCGTTGCGGATGACGATCCAATGTTTTATATCGTCAACAAACATGGCCATGTCACAGTCCAAAGCATGCATGCAGTCATCAATATAGATGAGAAAGAGGATAGGGCCAAGAACGAAGCCCAGAGACACTCTGCTCGTAACCGTCACCTCTGCCGATTGCTGGCCACCAAGACGAACAGTCTGGGACCGACCGACCAAAAAGTTTTCAATCCACTTCAAAAGCTTGCCTCTTACCCCTATGCGGCTGAGCTTGTATGGGAGACGTTGGTGTGGCACGCTGTCAAAGGCCTTCTTGAAGTCTATGTAGGCCACATGCGCAACGTTTCCTTCATCAATCGCTCGGGTCCACTGTTCAAGACAGTAGAGTAGATTGGTCAAGCGGGACCTCCCTCTGCGGAAACCATGCTGTGCATCGCACAGAAGATGATTTTGCTCCAAAAACCGCATCAGTTCGCGTTTGATAATTTGCTCCATAACTTTGCAGCATATGGAGGTGAGGCTTACTGGTCGGTAGTTGTTTGCGGAAGCACCATAGCCATTTTTATGAATCGGTGAAATCCATGCAGTCCATGCCAATTCTGTGACTACTTCCTACAACAACTTTGTCGGTATTTCGTCAGGACCGGGTGAAGTCCCTTCTTTTAGCTTCAGTAATTCCTGTTCAGCAATAGCCTTTGTGAGAACCACTGAGTCAATTTTCGAGACATCGTCCACATTTTGGTGATCAGCGGGTACAGCGACTTCTCTTGAAAAAGCGAGTGAAAGAACCTGGGCAGATGCTCAGCCTTTTCGTCGTCCTTGTAATGTTCAACGTCATCATCCCATTTTTAACATAGGGATAGGATCCTTGTTTCGAGTGCTTT